GTCACTTGCCATGAACCGGAAGGCACTCGACTGGCGGCGGATTTGCAACCTGCGATGAATTCGCCCGGAAAGGGCTGTGAGCGTTGCAGGATCTGAGGCCTGCGCGTGGCGTCTCCCTGTCTGTGACCCCGAAGCTGCGGAGAGGCTCCTGTAAGCTGCCCCTCGGGGAGGCACCGGCCACGGCCACCGCCAGGCTGCCCTCCCGCCTGGAGGCTTTTCCCCGACAGACGCCCCCCACGGAGTCCGGGGGCCAGGGTTACGCTCCCACCTGCAACGGCTGACAGGTACCTGACTGTGTCCCTGACAAAACCCACCAACATTTGTGGGTGCAGCGCGTCCCGGCTCAGTGAGGTGGGGTCCCCGGGGTCTGCCCTCCAGGAAGAGAATTCCCAGGAGGTGCTGCTCCGACCCCGGCAGAGGCCCCCCCACCCCCGGCAGGGGTGTCGTCTGCTTTGCCTTCTGCTGGGTCCCCAGTGCCTGGAACAGCGCCCGACACACAGTAGGCACTCGGGTAACTATCTGCTAGTGCTGTTCTGGGGCGGGGGTCTCCTCTCCCTGAGCCCCGGAGACCACCCGAAGGACCCTCCTCCATCAGCCCACCCGGGGCGGAGACCCTCTGCGGGCGACCGCCTCCAGGGAGGGCCGTGCTCGCGCAGGGGAACAGGAAAGGTTTATCTGGATAACCATCGCCGTGACCCGCGGCTCCCCGCAGCCCCTCCCGCGGCCCTGCCTGCTTCCTGGAAGACCCGACCCTGTTCTCTGCGGAGAGATTTCATCACTGGCTCCAGGCAAGACCCGGAGCGCCGGACGGTAAGTCATGTCAGGCCTGGGGTGGCTGGCGGGTCAGGGAGACGCCGGAGCCGTCACCGCGGAGGCTGAAGGGGCCTGGTCCTTCTATTCGGCACACAGCGATGGGTCCTGCCTGGTGTGGGGGCCCGAGACAAAAATGCAAATGATGGTGATTCACAGAATTTTCAAAGTCACCGTCTTCTATCATATAGAATCTACATTCTTTTTTAAAACATATTTTTATTGATTTTAGAGAAGAAGGGAGAGGGAGAGAGAGAGAGAGAAACATCAGTGATGAGAGAGAATCACTGATTGGCTGCCTCCTGCACACCCCACACTAGGGATCAAGCCCGCAACCCAGGCATGTGCCGACTGAGAATCAGTCAACGCTCAACCACTGAGCCACACCGGCCGGGCAAATTTTACATACAGTGGGGCCTTGACTTACGAGTTTAATTCGTTCCGAGACCAAGCTCATTAAGGAGCTCGTTAACTCAAATTACTCTATCAACTCAATGCAAAAAATCGGCGGAGAGACAGCTGGTATCTCAAAAAACTCGTTAAGTCAGGACACTCGTAAGTCAAGGCCCCACCGTATTTCAAAACAGCAATTGCTGGGCCTACGACCAAGCGTGGGGCCTTCAAAGCTCAGGCCCTGCATGGCTGCCTGGCCACAGGCCCTCGGAGCTGCTCTGCAATGACCCCACGCACGGGCTTGGCCAGCTCTCAGCGGACACTCCGGTCCCAGGTCCTGTCACCCGCAGCCTGGGCGCGGGCAGGTGCGCCCACCGCTCAGGTGAGGGAATGAGGCTCTGAGAGGTGACTGGAAGACACGCTGTCCTGTGGTCACGGGATGACGGTAGGGTTGGAAGCCAGGTCAGGTGATGCTGACTCTAACGCGGGGGAGGGAGCGGCCTGGGGAGCAGAGCCCTGGGTGTGCGAGGCGGCTCCCTCCTTGGGGCTGATCCCCTCGCCCGCCCTGGGCGTTCTCCTGTTGCTCAGTGGGAAGCCACAGGCCCCACGGGCCCCTGGGCTGGGACATGGGGTGGCTCTGCCTGTCCTGTGACGGGGAGGGCGGGGGGGCCAGGGCGGGCGCCCCTGAGCACGCCCAGCTCCGAGGCAGGGCTGAGACCTGGGCCAAAGGGGCGGAGCCCGGGCCGGGCCTGGAGGCTGCACTTCCCAGACTGAAGTTCAGCCTCTGCCACCGACAGCTCCTGGCATCCCGTCCCTGCCCTGGGCCTGGAGGCAGCTGGGACCCAGGGACCCCGGCTCCCCTCTTTCACGCCCCTCCTCCCACACCCCTCCTCGGGCCTCCCGGAAACCAGGTTTGTTCCCACCCCAGGGCCTTCGCTCTCGCTGTGGGTCCTGCTGGGAACAGCCTTTCCCAGGCTCCTTCTCCCCCTCCAACCCTCGTTCCAACGTCACCTCGGAAAACAGGCCTCCGCTTAGCATCCTTTCTAGAACACACCGCACTCACCGCTGTCGTCCTGCTTGCCAGTCGGCCCTGACCTCCCTCATCGATTTAGCTCCTTTGTCCACAGCTGGACTCGCTTCACTGGGACGGACACAAACACGCTCAGGCTCTGTCCCCAGCGCCACACACGGCCACCCTATGGCGGGGACTCAGTACATCGTTGTGGACAAATAGGCGGCTGTACGACATCGGGGGGAAAAGAATGTGTGCTCTCTGAGCCTCGGTTTCCCCATCTGTCAAATGGGGTTAATACCTATTTAAGATTCATCTTCACATGGGTGTGTGGGTTAAACTAAGGCTGCCATCCACTGAGGGCTTCCTGTGTGCCAGGCACTGTACTAGATCCCCAAACCCAGTATCTAGGAAGTGCTTGATAACTACTTTTTTTAATATATTTTTATTGATTTCGGAGAGAGGAAGGGAGAGGGAGAGAGAGATAGAAACATCAGTGATCAGCTGCCTCCTGCACGCCCCCGACTGGGTGGGGATCAAGCCCACAACCCGGGCATGTGCCCTTGACCAGGAATCAAACCGTGACCTCTTGGCTCTTGGATGGACGCTTAACCACTGAGCCACACTGGCCAGGCTGGATAACTATTAGCCACAACGATGACTTGTATTACTGTTGCTACATCTACTAAACTTCATCGGTTGGGGTCCCCCAAGAGGCACCATGGCACCTCCAGGCCAGGATGCACTCTGGGCCGGAAGCAGGCACAGCCCCGTGGGAAGGGCAGCGGCTCTGACACTCCAAGGCTTCCTTCCCTGGATTCCTCCCTGGCCTCCTGACGCGCCCGTCCTCCTCCACCCTCTGAGCCCCGCCCTCCCAACCACACTCTAAGAATAAGCCCCACGCCCTGCGTGCCTTGGGTGTCACCGTTTCCTGCCTCTCTGGTCACGGCTGCCGGGCTCCGAGGGATTTTCCAGCTCAGGGCCAGGCTGAGGGGCCGGGGCCGCATGACCTCGGAGCTGTGATGTCCGCCCAGAGGCAGAAAAACCCCAGGCGGCCTGGGCAGGGGAACCGGGCCGTCTCTCGGACTTCGCCCCTGGCCCGCCCCGGCTGGCGGTGGCTTGCTGACGGCACAGGCTGTCCTGGCTCTCGGCCAAGGGCCTCCAGATTGGCTGGGCCCAGAACAAGAAATACCACCTCGTGTCTGAAAAATCCATGGCCAGGCTGGATCCGGAGCGATTCCAGTTCAGGGACCTGCCCCGCCACCCCTCACCCCCCCACCCCCCTGGAGAAAGGCCGGCGTCCTCTGCCTTCCCTTCCCCTCAGACAGCCCCGAGGACGCTCCGTGTCCTGCGCTGACCCCTGGCAGCCTCGGGGACACCATCGCAGTCGGATACCGTCCCCAGAGGGCTGTGTCCCCGCCTCGGCCCTCGCCCTAATCTCCCTCCGATCTCTCCCCGCTCCCTCCGCACCTGTTGAGGGAGCTGGCTTCCAGTCGGCCTGGCGCTGACTCACCATGACGCTGAGCCATGTCCAGCCTCCTCTGCGCCTCGGTGGCCCCCCTGTAAACTGAGGCCCAAAGGGTCCCTTTTAGCTCTGACACTGTGGGACTCAACGTGTAGAGGTGCAAGCACAGGTCCCTACCGAGGCCCTGCCCCCACCCCGCCCCGCCCCGGCCACCAGGACGCGATGGCTTCACACACCGCCGGGCCTGCCCCTTGGCAGCTGTGCCGGGACTGGTCTCTGGGACGGACAGAGGACACGATGTTTGGAGGACGACGAAGGCGAAGTGTCCACCAGTGTCCCTGCCACCTGCAGGTCTGCAGGGGAAGGAAGCCATTCGGGTTCAGAAGGAAACAGGACGCCTAGAGAGAAAAGTGGCTGGAGAACCAGGCGTTCGGCCGCTGCAGCCTGCCCTGTGGCCACTGCGCCCTCCTCCGTGAAACGGAGGCCAGGAACTCCGAATTCAAGTGCAGGAGGCAGAGTTCTCGGCGAGGGCTGTCGGCCCGAGTTCCCTGCTCCCCGAGGCCGTGGCCGCTGAGCGCAGGCGCGGGTGGGTGGTTGGCCGCCCAGGGCGCTGGCTCGGTTGGCGGGGCTGAGAGTCAGGCCCGGCTGCAGTCCCTCAGCTCGTCCCCGGCCGTGGGCAGCCACGGTGCTGCTGCTGCTGCCACTGAGAGATTCTCCAAATGTCCTAGCGGGTGACCCTGGGCCGCATCTGGGCCCCAAGTCCGTCCCCAAACCACAGTGCGGCCTCAGGAAGCCCAGCCCGCAGCCCGCAGCCCGCACGGGGCGGCAGAGGGGGCCATGTTCTCTCGGAGGCGGAAGGAGAAGGGCCCCATGTCCAGGAGGGCAGTGCCAGGGTGGCCACAGTGGCCGCCTCCTCCGGGCGACCCCGGAGTGCTTTCCGCTGGGGCCGGCGGGGGGCGGGGGGGGGCACACTGCTGCCACCCTCCGTGGGGCCTTGCCAAGGTCGATTTCTTTCTCCTAAACTCTTTCCTTTCTAAATGTGAAATTTAAATTCATTTTTAAGTGACCACGGACATTTTCAAACATATTCACAGTGGGATTAAGAACCTCACAGCCGCCCGGCCGGCGTGGCTCAGTGGTTGAGCATCACCCAATGAACCAGGAGGTCCGGTTCCCGGTCAGGGCACAGGCCCAGGTTGCGGGCTCCATCCCCAGTGGGGGGCATGCAGGAGGCAGCCAATCCATGATTCTCTCTCATCATTGATGTTTCTCTGAAATCAGTAAAAATATATTTAAGAAGAAGAGAGTCCGACCCAATACCTCATTTCAAGAATGATCCATTTATGGACAATTTTATTTTATTTGTGTTCCTGCCCCCAAACCGGATACATTTAATCAAATTCCAGACAATCCACGGTGTCATCGGTAAATGCTTTGATTGGTTACTTCCTTTTTAAAATGCAACTAATCCATTCCAAAGGGGGAAATGTTTTTAATTAAAAAAAAAAGAAACAAAATTACCCATAATGCAATCACCCAGTGCTGGTTTGACCAGAGTGGCTCTGTGGAAAGGAGTCACCCGATTGGGTTCGATGTCCTCTGTCACCTGCCCTTGGGTGACCCTGAGCAAGGGGCCTCTCTGAGCCTCGGCATCGAGGTCGGGGTTTGAGGAGGAGGGAGGGTCGCCGTTGGCTCCACGGAGCACCCGGCCGGTCCTGAGGCCTCGGAGCTGAGCCGGAGCACAGCTGCTCCCCGCAGACGCGCAGAAGGCTCCGGAAGGGAGCGGCCGCGTGGGAGGGACGGACACTTGTTTGCTGTGGGGGTTTGGGACCTCAGCTCCCCGGCCGCCTGCGCTGCCTCCAGAAGCTGACCTCAGTGCCGGGCTGTTGACGAACGCTCACATTTGATCAGAGTGACTTTTGCCTTCGAATTCCACACACGCCCTTTGCTCTGGAGGGAAAGGAAGAACAAGGACTGAAAGGCAGAGGCGGCCTGGGCATGTCCACTTTACAGATGGGAAAACTGAGGCCAGCGAGGGGAGCCACTGGGACCCAGAGCTGGCCAATGGCAGGGCTGCGACCAGGGGCCAGGGGCCAGCCCTGTGAGCTGGACAGGCTGACAGTGTGGGAAACACCAGCTCAGACACTTCCCGCCCCTGGCCCCCGGCCTCCGGTGCTGGTCAGAAAGCCTCGGAGAGGGCTATGGGTGGGCGAGCACCGCTTCGAAGGGTCGGGGCCCTAAGGTTTCTCCCCAGAGACTTGTGAACGTCAAGCTCGCAGGGACCCCTGTCCAGAGAGAGAGGGAGGTCATGGCCGAGGTGTCTGGCCAAATGCAAACGACTTCCCTCCCGGTTCTCACGAACTGAATCCACTGAATCCGATAAAGGGCTTCCTTCCTCTTTCTCGCCGGCGTTCACCCCTGTGCCTCGACACCAGCCCCTGCTGTCACACTATCCTCCGCCCCTCCACCCTCTGGCCGCCCGGACTTGAGGACTTGACCTTGCCCGGGAGTCGGGGGCCACTCGACGCTGCTCAGCTCGGCGGGTTCCTTCTCGTCTTTCTGACGCGGATGGGGTCGTGTTTCACTTCTCCAGGCGGGGGCGGGGGCCGGGGTGCAGTAGCCACCGTCACCTTATTTCTGGCAGCTGCGGGGGCCCTGGGGCCGAGGTGTCTCGTTCTGGTTCTGCCACCAGACCCGCCCCTCCACCTGGCCGCTCCGGTTTCCTCTTTCACGCCCCGGGGAGAGGCGTCTGCCGCGCAGGGTGGGGCGGAGGGAACCGTGATCCTGGCTCACGGGAACTGAGCTCCTACTGTGTGCTGGGCCAGCGCAGGCTGGGTCTCATGGAAACCTCACGTAGGACAACGAGCTCAGGGAGAGGAGGTGCTGGCCCAGGATCGCCCCAGAGCATGGAGCTCTCCACCCGGTCACCTCACTGTCTTCCTAAAGTGGCGCCTGGGCTGGCGGGTGGGGCTCAGCGAGTTGGGCGTCGCCCGTGCAACCAAAGCCTGCTGGTTCGATACCGGGCAGGGCACAGGCCCGGGTTCCAGGCTGCGTCCCCAGTGCGGGGCGTGCAGGAGGCAGCCGATTGACTTGCTCTCACATTGATGTTTCTCTTTCTACTCCTCCCTTGCTCTCTCTCTAAAAATCAATAAAAAATCTAGCCCGGCTGGCGTGGCTCAGTGGTTGAGCATCGACCTATGAACCAGGAGGTCACAGTTCCATTCTCAGTCGGGGGCACATGCCCGGGTTGTGGGCTTGATCCCCAGTGTGGGGCATGCAGGAGGCAGCCGATCCATGATGCTCTCTCACCTTTGATGTTCCTATCTCTCTCTCCCTTTCTCTCTGAAATCAATAAAAATATAAAAAAGAGCCCTGGCCGGTTTGGCTCAGTGGATAGAGCGTCAGCCTGCGGACTCAAGGGTCCCAGGTTCGATTCCGGTCAAGGGCATGTACCTTGGTTGCGGGCACATACCCAGTAGGGAGTGTGCAGGAGGCGGCTGATCGATGTTTCTCTCTCATCGATGTTTCTGATTCTCTATCCCTCTCCCTTCCTCTCTGTAAAAAATCAATAAAATATATTTTTTTAAAATTAAAAAAATATATATATGGAAGAAAAGTAAATTTAAAAAATTAAAAATGTTAATTAAAAAAATAATAGTAACCCCTATGACACCCCTGGAACTGCCAGCAACAGAAGCTGCGGACTCATCGAATCAGACCATGTCCCCCCATTCGCACCTCTGCCGTGTTTGAGTGACAGCTGCAGACTGGAGGCCCGATATCTTACTTCTCGGAGGAGGCGGGGGGGGCCTCAGTCTGTATTTTGCTAGCAGGATCCCACTGCGCTGATGAGGGGCCGGGTCACAGTGGGCGGGGCAGAGAGAGACGTGAGCGCCTGCTGGCAGCTAGCCCGCTCCC